TTGCTCATAGCATGTCTACAAACTCTTGACATCGAACATTTTGCACACCAGGATCTGGTTCCGAAATCAATGGCTTAGTGGGAGGCAGAGTGCCAACACCAAAATACCGCCAAGGAACCAAAGGCATGACATAACTTGTATTTTTGGAAAAGATTGTTGATATACCACTACGCACAATAGCATGCTGTCACTATCAATCTGATTTTACAAGCATTAGTGTTGAAAAGTGCTGTGCAGTCCTTTTCATTTGGGCTTGGGAAAGCCAAATTTTAGGGACAGCACAGCACTTTTGAAGCTCAGGTGCCCTAAAGTGCTGTACTGTCCCTAAAAGTTGGGTTTGGCAGAAGCCAAATTTAGGGACAGTACAGCACTTTTGAAGCTCCAGTGCCCCAAAGTGCTGTACTGTCCCTAACATTTGGCTTTCCCAAGCCAAAAGTGCTGTACTGTCCCTAAAAAACCTAAAAAACCTATCCCCCAGCAACCTGCAGGCGTTCCCAGCCGATAGTCTCTGGAGGATAAGTTTTTTAGGTTTTTTAGGGACAGTACAGCACTTTTGGCTTGGGAAAGCCAAATTTTAGGGACAGTACAGCACTTTTGAAACCCAGGTGCCCTAAAGTGCTGTACTGTCCCTAAAACTTGGGTTTGGCAGAGGCCAAATTTAGGGACAGTACAGCACTTTTGAAGCTCCAGTGCCCTAAAGTGCTGTACTGTCCCTAAAATCTGGCTTTCCCAAGCCAAAAGTGCTGTACTGTCCCTAAAAAACCTAAAAAACCTATCCCCCAGCAACCTTCAAGCGTTCCCAGCCGATAGTCTCTGGAGGATAGGTTTTTTAGGTTTTTTAGGGACAGTACAGCACTTTTGGCTTGGGAAAGCCAAATTTTAGGGACAGTACAGCACTTTTGAAACCCAGGTGCCCTAAAGTGCTGTACTGTCCCTAAAACTTGGGTTTGGCAGAGGCCAAATTTAGGGACAGTGCAGCACTTTTGAAGCTCCAGTGCCCTAGAGTGCTGTACTGTCCCTAAAATTTGGGTTTGGAGAAGCAGAATTCAGGGACCATTCTACTCTAAGTTTCTTGCTGGAACCGTGAATGCTGCGGCAAAGATTGTTGGATGTGGACGATCTAATTATTTTCAATACGAACATGAGTCCGACGTCTCGGCAAACCATGTGGACCAGGACTGATGCACGATTGCTTCGGGCCGATGTTTTGTGCTCGAGGAGTCGCTGGGTGCCGATTCACAGCTTACCGCTGGAGCATCGAAATCAAAATGGTGCATGCGATGGCATGTGCAGAGGCAAGGCAGCTCCCCTAGCTATTGTTCCAAAGGAAGTCAAGCATGGTACCTGTGGCTTTCCACATGTTGCCATAGCGAAACCAGTAGGTGAACTGGGCTGAGCGAATCTTCCTTGTGAGGGCCTGGTTGCCTGGAGTGCGATCTGTGTGTTTCAAAAAGCTACGCAAATGTCCCCAAAAGCGGTCGATTATCTGCGTGCCGCTTTTCACACTCAGAAAGTTGCCGTTCGGCAGCTTCACCTTGTACACTTTCGTGTAGTGAGGCTTGATCATATGATAAGGTATTCCAGAGGCTCTAGGGTATTCAATAAGGCATGAGGGTATTCTATATCAGTGCATTCCATATGAAAGGTTTCAAGATACATAGAGAAAGTATTCTACAGGACATCCTATAAGATATTCTATATAGTGTCGTGTAGAGAGTGTGCTATAGGGTATGTGTAATATAATGCGTGCGGTGTTATATGTGTTCAAGGTATATATACTGTATACATGGACTGTCATATATAGGGCCATAGGGGCATTCTGTGAGGTCTTCTTTGGAGTATTCCAGACGGTCTTCCATGAGGAGTACGATATATAGAGGGTACTATGTGTTCCATAAGGTATTCTGTAGGGTATTCTATGTCGTATTCTGTAAGGTACTTTGGACATTCAAAAGATATACGGGCTATGACTGAAAGTATATGATAAGGTATTCCAGAAGCTCTAGGGTATTCAATAAGGCATGAAGGTATTCTATATCAGTGCATTCCATATGAAAGGTTTCAAGATACATAGAGAAAGTATTCTACAGGACATCCTATAAGATATTCTATATAGTGTCTTGTATAGAGTGTCCTATAGGGCATGTGTAATATAATGCGTGCGGGGTGTATCATATATAGGTGGTCTTGTATACGGTGTGCGACAGGATATTCAGATGGATTTGTACAAGATATAAAAGTTATGAGAGTGGAATTTTGCAAAGTATTCTAAAATGTAATCTAAAGGGTACTATGTTGGTGAAATACAAGGTGTTGAGCCCTGAAAGTATCGATAGATTTCGTGTTCACGGACATGATCTATAATCTCGATGCGTCTTATATATGGGAGGTATAGAAATAGGGCTGTCTTTTCATATATGGATACTTGTCGTGATACTATGTTATATGGGATGATATATCTTTGCTTTCCTGTTGCGTGTTACCTTCAGAGCCCATACTGCTGCATGCAAAAACCTATACACACACAGAACATGCATGCAAACTTGCGTTCTTTTGCAACACGAGAAGAAGCCGTACGCGAATGTATGTCGCTTGGAAAACTCAAGGTGTATATGAAAGAAATGCAGAATGTAGGATCTGCGAAATCTTTGGTGCAGTCGCAGCGTATTTAGGCCAGTACCTGGGCAGGGCAGGCGTGGATCTTGGGGGGGGGGTGAGCATATATATATATATATATATATATATATATAATGAATGGAACTTTGCCCTGATAAATCTACGCCCATGGGGTTCAGGGTTTCGCCGAAAAATCCGCTGGCACGTTTCCGAGCGAAACCTGAAATCCGGGGCCGAGACCCTAAACCCTAAACGCTAAGTCCCCTGAAACCCTATGTTTAGGGTTTTATGGCGTTTGGGGGGTTTAGGGGTTAGACAGGGCCGCAGAGGAGACGAAGGCCGGAGAGGACAAGAGCGTCGCACGGAAAGCGACATTGCCCCTGCCAAGGAGCTTTCGGCCACATCCCAAGCGCGGCACGCTTCGAAAGGGTAAGCAAGCAACGAGCAAGCGAGCAAACAAGAACTGGTATGCGAACGAGTAGCTCCGTCGGTGCGCACTTTTGCAGTAAAAGCACTTAAGTGCCACTCCTGTCGCAGTCTCGCAGGCAGAGAAGGAGGCAATCCAGCACGGAGAGGAGCATGGCTTGGACAACGACGCGGACCTCTGCACCACGGAGTGCATGGCAGAAAGTGAGAAGATCATTTTGGTTTCCGACTGCACCCACCAGACGAACCTTCAAAGATTGGTTCTTGGAAGTTTTGCAGCGCCACTTCCCAGGTGCATGCATCCACCGGGATCTGCAACATGTGAAGAAGAACATTCAGGACAACGCCTGCAAACCAAGGCACCAACTTGAAAGCTTACATCACCCGACGTGGTCGAGTTTTCAGCGAATCTTTCGCAACCAGTGAATTCCAGACCGTCTGCGCAATATAAGCACGGTAACAGTCAGGTAGTTTGGACTCCATTTGTATTGGGAACAACACATACACCTCCAACAGTCAAGAGAGGATGTGGCGGACATTGAAGGGGCTTTTGCCCAAAGATGGAAGGAACCTGGACTTGGGCGGTCTAGTTCATAGCAGCCCAACTTCTTCTGACTTGGATGCGGACTGGCGAATTCGCAAGTGTGTTCTTCCGATTTGAATTGCCTGTACCAGTTCACTTGCACAACAAGGGCACGCATGTTATGTCAGAGCCAGTGGGCCCGTCCGGCATCCAGCACGGACGGCTGAGTGCCACCCAGATGCGAGACTGGTTGGAAGAGCATGGTGCGGAGGCATGGAGCGACCTCTTCGACGAGGCATGCCAAGAAGGGGTGGCAGCAAGCAACATCCACGGGCAAGCATGCGTGCCAACAAGCAAGCAAGCCAGCAATGAAAAGCATTGGCAGCATTAAGACGACCGTGTCATGGTGCTTAGTCTTTCAAGACGGTGTCCTTGTCCTCAGTCAGAGCCAGGACACAGGGGCATAGAAAGTGAGGACATGCAAGTTTCAAGAGGCCGCCTCTTGCTTGTCCCAGAGCATCAGAAGCCGTCGGCGGTGCTGACAGGAAGCCGCCATGATCGGAAGCGCTCCAAGTCGACATGTTTGCCGTGTGGCTTGTTAGTGCTGTTGAAATTGGGCCTACTTGTTCTGGTGACGAGGCACTTACAGGTGTCCTTGAAGCGGTTGCGGGAGGAGCGGCTTCGGTCGAAACAGCGAACCATGGTGATCCGCTGGAGGGCACTTTTCGGGGCTCGGAAAAAAACGAAAAGGTCAAAGATGCCTGGCTTTCAGAAGCAATCCGCGGTCATCTTGGCACGGGCAGAGACCTGGGAGTCCGGCCAGCTCGGGTGGGGCGCACAAACCCGTGCTTGAACACCTTCCAAGCAAAGGGCGGGAGAAAACTTGGCCAAACGCGATCGCCTAGGCGTAAAAGTGCATCGTGGAGGGTCGGCACGGGAGCGCGAGGGGTTGGGAGCGTTTCTTGTGGTAGCCGGGTGGTGCTGCCCGGCCCGGCCTGCAAACGGGTGCCGTCCCACGGGGTACATTGTCGTCGCCACCATCGTCGTTGTTGTCTTCGTAGTCTTGTGTCTGTAGTTATCTGAGGCCCCGTCAAAAAAATAAGGCTATGATACCTGTAATGAAGTCCTGGTGCATGAAATTGAATCCGATATGGTTCTGCCTATAAGTGGTGCCTTAATAATCGGCAAAATTAGCTTGATTGGTGTACTTGTCTTATCTCGAGCCCAGTGCCTTCGTCCAGAAAACGCTGCTATGCCTCGGAGTATGGTTGCTCAGACTCCTATCTCTGTGGCAATTGCTGGTTTGTTTCGCTACTTTGCTGCGCTACACTACGCTGCAAGGCTTATGTGTCGAAACAACTATGCTATGCCCTTCAGGAGGTTTGTGGTGCTCCGATCACAGTGCCACTAATGGGGTATTAGGATATTTTTGGCCATGGTTGGCTTTGCTTTGCTGTTTGCTGTGCTCCTCTCCTGCTGCGAGGCCTAAGCGTCGAAAAAGCGATGTTATGCCTTGCAGGATTTTTGTGTCTGGATTGTTGTCACCCTGCTTTTGCTGTTGCCATTCAGTAGTGTATGACGCACGGTGCTTGTGGTGGAGGTTTGCTCCTCACTGCTAGTTTACAGGTCTGGCCCAGTGATGGTACGTTTTTCTGATAGTTCGTAATTATGTTCCTCTTGTGGTACCGTTTAGTCGTACGCCCCCGTTCGGTCGGTTAGTCATGCTTCTGGCTCCCTGTACTGCAGGACCGTGCGAGATCACCGGAGGCCGCCGTGGCCGAAGGACCCCGCGACCGGACCAGCTCGCTGGTGAACGCGGCCACTGGGTGGCACTGGATGTTGAAAGATTTCTAGGGTTTAGGCTTAGAGGGGCTCCTTCAAGGGATGTATAAGGTTCCGCCGAGGGATCAATCGGGTTTCCTTCACGGGCTCCTTTAGGGTTACTAGAAGGGTTTAGGGAATGAGGGGTCTGGGGTGTTTAGGTTGAGAGTTGAGGGGCAGAACCCGATGTGAACTTGATGAGAATGGTGATGACGATGATGTGATGATGACGTTGTGATGAGCGTATTGAGAAGACAGAATATGTTTCTTGAACATATTGATGATGGTAACGATGGCAGGCACTCAGGGTTCCTTGTATGGCACGATGACTGTAACCCTACGTTGCCTGCCGAGAAGCATCCTTTGCAAAGGCCCAGTCAAAAGAACACCTCAACATCCCTGCGTCCCAGCTCCTCAAATCTTTTTAACCGCGTAGTCGCTAAACCCGAATCTGCAAACATTTTAACGAAGAAGATACCTCAATCCGAAGCATTTCGGCGAAACGCTAGTTATTTGGCACCGGAGCCGCCCGAGTCACCACACACAGTAACCGCGACATAAACCCGAAAAGGCTTCAAACCCAAGACTCCAAACCCAACTCCGACGCACCAGACTCTGAATTCTATGGCTCTCAAAAGGTCCTGTGCTATACGCTGCTGGAGGTGCTGCAGCGCCCGGCCCTCTGGGAAAGTAGGTCGAGCCTGATAGCTTTTTGTTTCAGACGAACGCGACAATCCGGGTCAATGATCAAGGTTTGATGGCGTTCGGTCTTGAGTTGAGGGTTACAGTTCCGGCGTTTAGACTTTACATGGCCGAAGGTTTGTTACTTAGGGTTTTGGTTCAGTTTTTGAGGGCAAATACAGGTATTCTTGTCAATGAGGTGGTTTCGTGTTGCGCGATTTGTCATTGTAGATGGCTTGGCTTTAATTGTCTTGGCTCGTCTTGCAATCATGGCATGTGGTGCCACACATTTCAAAGCACCATCGCGAAACACATCTTTTCGCGCCCTGGATCGAAAGCTCTAAATCCTAAACCCAAAACTCTAAACCCCAACCCCTATACCCTAAGCTCCCAAGCCCTAAACCCCAACACCCGAAACCTCAAACCCTAAGCCCTAAACTCTGAACCCCTAAACCTTAAACCCTAAGCCTTCAACTTTAAACTCTACTTGGAGGACCATGGGACTTGGTAAGTAAGGTTATAAGTACTTTAATTGGGGTTATAAGTATAGTTACCCCAATTATCACCCTAGTTGCTGAGTCCCATGATCCTTTAAGTAAACCCTAAAACCCTTCTTATAATAGAACCCCTAATAGATCCCCTTTGAAGGAGCCCTTTAAAGTATAACCACAGTTACTAAGTCCCATGATCCTTGAAGTACCCTAAACCCTTATAGATCCATTATAAAACCCTTTAAGGAACCCTTGTAGATCCCTTTAAGGAGCCCTTTAAGGAACTCTAGACCCTAAACCCTCAACCCAAAACCCTAAACCCAAAACCCAAAACCCTAAACCCAAAATCCTAAACCCTAAACCCTAAACCCAAAACCCTAAACCCCAAAATCCTAAAACCCTAAACCCAAGACCCTAAACCCCAGGCCCTATATCTTCAACTTAGAACCCCTAAACCCTAAACCCTAAACCTTCAACTTTAAACTCTAATCTCAGGGCTTGGTCTCCCTCTGCTGGCTTTCGGACGCCCTCGCCTTGGCACCCGGGTTTTTGGGCTGTCGGCCCCACGGTTTAGGGTTTAGGGTTTTGAGGTGGTGGCTCCTTTAAAGGGATCAGAAAGGGTTCTATAAGGGGTTTAGGGTTCAGGGTTATATGGGAGTTTCCGAAAATTAGGGGTACCTTATTTTGGGGTCCGTATAGTAGGGATCCTACTATTTAGGGATACAAAATTGGGGTCCTTTACAGGTACCTTTGACGGGGTCTATGGTGTTTATTTTGAATAGAGTCTGTCAAGACAATATAATTTTGCAGGAGTTCATAAGGGGTTCCGCCTCAAGGGCTTCTGCCAGAGGCAGTGATGGTAGCGGCTGATCGTGTCATGGTGATTATCCTCCTAGCTTCGAAGCTGAGCTCTTGCCGGAGAAGCAATGAAGGCCTTGGTGGCTCAACCCGACATCCTTAACCCGGCAACCCAAACCTAACAACCACCATTCCGAAATCCGAAATGCCAACCCCCAGCCCCAAGCACCCAAAGGCCTTGGTCATCCCTCTCAAAAGGACCCGATACATGCTACCCTGGACCATTAAAGTAGGGCTGTGCTATTTCGGGGGTTCCTTGTTATATATACTTATGGTAGAATGGGGCCCAAAACCCTATTCTAGTTATGAGGCACTGTATTATGGTACCCTTATAGATCCCTTACAGACCCCTTTTAAAGGAACCTTATTCTAATTATTACGGCCCCTGTATTACACCCAAAACGGTAACGATCAGCCAAAGCTCAAAGCTCTGCTGCGAGGCTTTTGGGCGCTCTTGGCCTGCGTGCTCTTCTGGCTGTGGCATTCCATCGAGCCGAGCCGGGGTGCTTGAGGGATACCGGATACGCCTTAAGGGTGACTATGGGAATTGGTGTCTGCTTTGGTAGGGTTGATGATATAAATCCTGCATTACCTTAAGGACCCTAAACTGTGGGAATAATGGTATATTCCTTATTATGGGTAATGCAGGATTTATATCATCAGCCGTATTAGGGGTGTATGAGGATTAGGGCTTAGGGTTTAGGGGTGTGCCGGGGTGCATAATGGGGTAGGTAGTATTCGGGATACCGTGATACACCTTCAAGGGTGACTATGGGAATTAGTGTATATTCCTTGTTATGGGTAACGCAGGGTTTAAATCATCAACAGTAGGGATACCCCTTAAAAGGTCCTAACTCCTATGATTCCGGGCTCGTTTAGTTTCAGGTTTCAAGTTTTGGAGGGGTTTAAAACCTACGCCCCAACCCCCTAAACCCTGAACCCTAAACCCTCAACCCTGCGCCCCTGAAGCCTATACCCGATTTCATACCGATGTTAGATGGTTCAATATGGAGGACTGAAGATTCAGCCACAGTAGTACTCCCTTGCAGGATAGCTGTGCCATATTGGTGTGCGCCCCACCCCCCCTTCTACTTGGAGGATCATGGGACTTAGTAAGTAAGGTTTTAAGTACCTTAATTGGGGTTATAAGTATCTATAACCCTAGTTACTAAGTCCCATGATCCTTGAAGTAAACCCTAAAACCCTTCTTATAATAGAACCCCTAGTAGATCCCCTTTAAAGGAGCCCTTTAAAGTATAACCCCAGTTGCTAAGTCCCATGATCCTTGAAGTACTTGTTCAGGCCCCGAATACTATGTCCCGGCGGCCCTGTGGTTCTATAAGGCTTCCTTGCTGTTCGTTTCTGAGGATGCAGGGATGTTGTTGATTTAGGGTTTAGGGTTTAGGATTTTAGGGTTTAGGGTCTAGGGTATCGATTTTGTAAGTAAGGGTTTAGGGGGATCTCTTTCCATGAAGCTGGGCCTGTTTTGGGGTAACGGTGATAGTATACAGGGCTCCTTAGGGCGTCTTTTGAACTAGTTTTTCGACAGCAGCGAAAACCAAGCCCAAGAAACGCCACACCCCAAAAGCCGGAAAAGCCTAGTACCGTAAAGCCCTAAATCCCCAAATCCCCCCTCTAAGCCTTGCTGCCCCGATCAAGGTACTTTAGCCCTAACTGCGCCCTCCTATAAGCCCCAAACGCAAGGAAACCCAGCAAAACTCGGAAATCCTATGAAGAGGAACTCGAACCCCTAGGCACTCAACTTAAACCCCTTAAGGAGGCATTAGAGACTGCAGGCGCTTATATGACACCCAATCCCAAACTGACCTCCAAGAGAACCTTCGGAGTACCTCGTATAACAACGACCTTTATCGTATCCCTTATAGTGAACTGTGTAGAAGCCTCCAAAGCAATTCTTAAAAACAGCTGTACAGCAAGCCGTAGACAGTAACCCGTAAGTACAGTGGACCTTGTAGGACCCCCAGGGCAACCCTTGCAGAGCCCCTTGCAAAAAACCTTATAGTTCTAATACACTTTCACTTGTAGTAACCCTTAACCCATCTCTAGTGCTGCGTGTTTGCGTGCCTAAGGCCGACCGCCCAAGAAGTGGAACCCACGCGCCGAGGTCCGGAGATATTTGAGATGTTGGTTATTTGTGTCATTGGCGATTTGTTTGAGCGCAAAAATCCCCGCAACATCCTACACTCTAAACTCTAAACCCTAAAGCTAAACCCTAAACCCCTAACCCCTAAACCCTCCATCGGCAACCTCAAAAAGCATCACCCCCTTAAAAAACCCTACAATAACCCTAAACTCCTGTTCTTGCAACCTAAAAAAACATCCCTAAACTGCTTGCCTCAGAGGCGGCGAACAATGAGCCAGTGGAGGCGCTCCGGGGGTTGAATCGGTATAGGGGCCGTAATAAATAGAATAGGGTTCCTTTTAAAAGGGGTCTATAAGGGATCTATAATATTGTACCATAATATAGTGGCCTTAATGATTAGAATGGGGTTTTGGGGCCCATTATACTATAGTTATAACAGGGAGCCCGGCCAAATAGTATAGGTAACTATGAAGGCCCCCTACATTAGGGGCATGGTTCCATAAACCCTATAAACCTTACATTATATAGTTTAGGGTTTAGGGGTGAAGGGGCACAGGCCCCTCCGGTGTTGGAGGTTGTTGGGACTGCTTCCCGAAGCCGTTGGTCCCGAAATCCTAACCGCCTCGACAAACCCTCAGCCCGAAAAGCTGCAGGTTTCATGATAAAACATGCCTCCTTCGGGCACGATGCTTCTGGATTGATGGCCCAGGGCTGCAGTGGAGATTTTTCCGATGGCACGTTGGACGCAAGAAAATGGAGCTGGAAAGGTTGTGGTGTCCTCCATGAGCCCAATCCCAGTTGTCCGATCCCGCCCTGCCCATGCCGCTTGCTGCATTTGATACCCAGTATCCCTAAGGGTTCTTTAAGAGATCTAAAAGGGATCTATAGAGTTTAGGGTTTACAGTTCAGGGGACTCCAAAATCTATACCCTCAAGCATCACCGCTGTCGGGAGGCAACTAATGCAAAGGATGCTCTCGATGCCACACATGATGGAGATGCACAGCTTCCGGCAGCAGCCAAACCCAGTGCTTTCCGCTTCCTCCACACGGTTATAAGTACCCTTACCTTACTAAGTCCCATGATTTTTTAAGTACAGTCCGAGCACGGCCACTTTTCTTCCACGACCTGAACTTGGATGCCTGGTTGAGCCCTGGACAGGCTGTCCTCGGCCGGCCCTGCAACCTACTATAGGGCCTTAAACAATTGCCTATGCTATTGTGGGGGTTCTTGATTATAATTAAAGTATAATTTGTCCCGAAACCCTATTCGAAGCATTAAGGTCCCTACATTAACCTTATAGTAGCCCTTATAGTAACTCGGATCAACCCGAGAAAGGAACCCTAGGCTACTTATTACGGCCCCTGCATGACGTCCCCGGCTTTGGAAGCACTGCAAGGAGTTTGCACCCTGTGGAGGCTTCCAGGCAGCGCTTGTGACTGCAATGACCGAGTCGTTGTTGATCTTGAACAGCTTAGTAAGTACCTATGACTTAGCATGTCGGCCAGGTTGTTGCCTTAAGCAGCAAAGCTCACACGCCCCTAAACCCTAAACTCTAGACCTCTGTTTGCTGTAAGCTTTCATCTTCAAAAACCTCACCCCTCAGGCCTAAATCCAAAGCTCGTTTTTGTTTCTTTCTGATTTTGGTTTTAAATCTTCAAGCCCCCCGCAAGAAGCGCCGGGAGGTCTTCCTCGAAACGTTGGCTCGCGAGTTGGACGAGAGGACGCACCGAGCGTAGCCTGCTTTCCAGGGATGAGGATTTTTGCAGTTTAGGATTTTGGGCTTTTGGGCCTTGTGGGAGTTTGGGATTCAGTGTTTAGGGCTTTTGAAGTTCAGGGTTCATGCTCCTCGGGTGTAGGGCTTTTGGGATTCAGGCAGTGGGGTTCGCGGTCTAGAACTATGGCAGTACTTGAGGCGACAAATGCGCTTCATGTACAGCTGCCCAGCCCACCGCGAGCCATCGCTGTCCGCAACTTGCACAACGAATACTCCAGGGGCCTAAGTAAATACCTACACTATTTTAGGGGTTCCTCTTTGTAAGTATGGCATAATGGGCCCAAAACCCTATTCTAATTATTCAGGCCCCCATAACCTATACTATTCGGCTTTGCGGATATAGGCATCGGGAAGCCAGACTCTCCAAGCCTCTCGTTTTTACATGCAAAGCTCTCAAAACCTGGACCTAAAAACCTGCAATGCGTCCTGACAAAACCTACGCTTTTTGAATATCCTAAACCCTAAACCCTAAATAAGCTGTCGCGATGTGGGTGAGGCTTTTGGGGATTCCAGCGCCGCCTTTCGGTTTAAGGTTTAGGGTTTAGGGTGACCAAGCAGCACGGAGGAGAACGTAAGGAGTACAGTACGGACTGAACAGAGATTGGAATCGAAAGGCAAAGACCTTTTAAGCTGCTGTCGTTTTTTGTTCAAGTCTTCGGGTTGTCCAGCCTTAGACGCAAGCCCACAATCCTACACTCCAGCCCCTCTCTCCTAAGCTTGCCTTCCCCGAAATCCTTTAAACCCCAAACCATACGCCGCTACACCCGTAAACCCTACATGCCTACGCTCTAAGCACCGAGCCCTGCACCACGACACCGCCAAGCACTAAAACTAAACCCTACAGCCCTAAACCCTAAACCCTATACCCCGACACCCCTAAACCCTAAAGATCCCTAAACCCTACACTCCTGAAAACCCTGAGTCTTTTTTAATCCTGGCGCCAATATACTTTTTATAGTATAACGGGCCCCAAAACTCTAGTCTGATTGTTAAGGCCCCTACATTATAGTACTAAGTTTTGTACCCTATAAACCCCTTTACAGGTAACCTTTAAAAAGGAACCCCAATCTAATTCGTAAGGCCCCCAAATTACAATACAACCATACTATAGAGCAATTATAGACCCCTTGAGAGGGAATCCTTAAAAGAAAACCCTTTGAAAAGATCCTTTAAAGGAACCCTTGAAAGGGATCCTTTGAAGGGACCCTATAGTCTATTTCTTAAGGCCCCTGCATTACGAGGAAGCCCCCCTTGGACCCCGCCGCCCTGCGCGCTGCCTCGTGGCAGGCCGTCTTTGAGGGCTTCAGGGCTTCAGGGGTTTCTTAGGGTTCTGGGGGTTTAGGGTTACAGTTTAGGGCTTTAGGGCTTCGGGGTTTCTTAGATTTCTACAGGTTTCGTTTTAGGGTTTTCTCTGGGGTCTAGGGTTTGTTTGTTTTTTTTACAGGGTTTAGGGTGTTTGGGGGTTTCTTTTCTTACGGGTTTATTAGGGGTTTAGGATTTTTTGGTGTTTCGGGGTTTAGGGGGGCTTTAGGGGTTCAGGGTTGTTTTTGGGGTTTAGGGGTTTAGGGCTTCAGGGAGGGGTTCAGGCGTTTAGGGGTTTTTGGGGGTTTAGGGGTTTAGGCGTTAAGGGGTGTAGGGTTCACATGTGTTAATGCACAGGCAGGATGCAAGGTTTATGGGCAAGGGTTTTTCGGTTTTGTGGCTTAGGGTCTGACTTTGTTTCTCGAAGCAGGTGCATCAGGGTCGGAAAGGGGTCGAGTGTTCTTTTAAATGTGTGCTTACTATTCGGGGTTAAGTGCGCTCAGACACTTGAATGTGGCTTAGTCATTCTCGTTGCGTGGGTATTATGACCTGTTGCCTTGCCTGATCATCCAAATCAGCGTAAGTAAGCGCCCCGAAAGCTCCAAATCATATTGCCCCAAGCTTTGCAACTTCTCGGTGAACTAAAACGCAGAAAATCTTCCGAAACCCTAAATCCTAGAAGAAATCCAGCCCCGTCCGGCAAGTAAGCACCGCCAGGACATCTCGACCAAAGGCCGGCTCAGTGCTGCTGTTTTCAGGGTATGGGATTGCAAAAACGAGGGTCCGGGGTGGATCTAGAATCTAGACATGTCTTGTGTGCAGACGGGATCTTGGCATCAGGTGTTGCAGTTTGGGGCTGCTGCTTGCAGCGACAAGGGTGGTTCTGAAGTCGCGGACTAGGAGCTAGCGGGCGAAGGATAGATCTGGCAACCCTCATCCCAACCGTGAACCCTGAACCGATAGCCTAGACTGTAGAGGTGCCTAGTATGGCGTTCCAGCACCCAAAATTGCTCGGCGTCCCCGCTTGCGCACTAAGCTAGCCTTAATCCCCACGCCCTGCTAAGTGCAGGTCCAAGTCAGTATGAACAATGCCCCCTGGTAGTCCCTCTATAACAACGCCATCATGCTCCTATACCACCACCCAAATCCTAGTCTTATTGTTAAGGGCTTTTCGTCCAGGGTTTCCATGCGTGACGCACCTCTTGTCCTTGTACGCTATAGTCTGGACCCCAACAAACACCCTGAGTCCCAAAACCGTAAACCCTAAACCCTCACTATGCCAATGCTGAGGTCACCTGGTCTCATATTGCTGCGAAATGCCCGAAACCATATTTAAATTGTCGAAGGTCCCTGGACAGTACACGCCTTCTGTCAAAACCTAGAGGCCTTGTGACATCCCATAAAGACCGCATTCGATCCCTGATGCCTGCATGAGTGAAGGCGCCGAGGTCTTCATCAAATTCGTCAAAGAACCGAAGATGACGACGCAGGCTTGGGACGCGCTCTTGCTCTGCAGGATTTTGTTGTTCGTGAGATTTCACAGTTTTTTTGCAGAGTTTTAACTGTGTCTATAAGACTTTGTACGGTTGTACAGGGCTTACGTAAGGCTCTTAGATCTTTGGGACTGGGGCAGTTTAAGGTTGCACAGAGTTTTATCGGACCTCGGGCTGTATGCCTGGATTTTTGCTTATGCCTCAGGTAGGGTTCCAAAAAAGGACCCGACCATAAACTTTTGATTGGGATATTCCTACCGGAATTTTGTTTTGGTACCTTTTTGGGTCCCTATCAGCATCCATTGATCACGGGCTTGGTGGCTGCCTTCTCGCTACGGCCCAGAACGAGAAGTTAGAATCTTTCTGCACAGTTCATCCTACGTGGTAACCCTAAACCCTAAACCCCTAAGCCCCTAAACCCCCGAACCCCAAGTCCCAAACCCCCCTAAACCCCTAAACCCCTAAACCCCTAAACCCTACACCCTCAAAGTGTACGAAGTTGCTACCCAGGCCACCGGGCCTTGGAGTGATACGGTTGATGATATAAGGGAGTTTCCGAAAAGTAGGGGTGCCTTTAAAGGGATCTATAAGGGTTCCTTAAAGGGATCTATAAGGGTTCTATAAAGGGTTTAGGGTCTAGAGTTTCCGAAAAGTAGGGGTACCTTATTTGGGGGTCCTTATAGTATGGATCCTACTATTTTGAAGGTACTATATTAGGGTCCCCTATTTTCGGAAACTCCCATAAGTCCTGCACTACCCATAATAAGGAGTATACCATAAGTCCCATAGTTTAGGGTCCTTAAGGTAATGCAAGATTTATATCATCAGCAGTAGGGATGGGGGCGTTCGTCGTGAAAGGTTTAGGGCTTCAGGGTCCTATGGGCTTGAGGGGCTTGGGGCTTTGGGGGGCTTTGGGGGGCTTTGGGGGGCTTTGGGGGGCTTTAGGGGGCTTTAGGGGGCTTTAGGGGGCTTTAGGGGGCTTTAGGGGGCTTTAGGGGGCTTTAGGGGGCTTTAGGGGGCTTTAGGGGGCTTTAGGGGGCTTTAGGGGGCTTTAGGGGGTTAGGGCTTTGGGGCGTTAGGCATTAGGATTTAAGGGTTTTTGATTTCCCTTGCCGCAAACCCCAATGCACAAGGATTTGTTCGCAATCTTGCTGCTACAATCGGACAGGCCAAACCAGCCGAAACCTACGAAAGTGGATCAGCAAATTGGAATGCACGGAGAACGTGTTAAGACCCCAAATGTTTGCTACAAGGCAAGACCCTACACGTATTTCCAGTGGTTTGCCGCAAGACAAGAGGACTCTGTGTGCATGAGTTCCGCAGCGGCTTGCCGCAAAGCAAAACCTTGCACGATGAAGTTTCCCAACAGCTTGCCAGAAGGCAGGCTCAGCAGATTAAGTTTTGCAACCTTTCGAACGATGCAAAGTGCGATTTTCCAATGGCTTACCTGACAAGAGGAGAAAAACAGGATGCTGTAAATTGGCATTCTCCAACAGCTTGCCGAAAACAGAGCAATGCTTTCATTGGAATTGCCAGATGTCTTGCTTCGAGATAAGTTGCGTGTTGGAGTTCCCAGTACTTGCCGCAGAACGGAGGGCTGCAACTCAAAATTCACGAGTATGGAGGTTCCTGAAGATCACAAATTAGGGTGGTTGAAGTTTAGGGTTCCTTTTTAATGAAGGTACTATAGGGTTCTAGAATAGGGTTCCTTAAAGGGATCTATAGGGGTTCTATGATGGAGATCATGGGGCTTAGTTGAAACTCGCGTGTGTTTTACTCTCATTGTTCAGCCCGACTGAGACCCAGTCTTAGATCATCCCAGCACGCAACAGAGCAGAGCCATGAATAGTTCATAGGCGGCCATCAAGGGGTTTTAGCCTCTGGTGGTTTAGTAGGGATTAGGGTTCCCATAATAGGGTTCATGTTAAGGAATCCCTACCCCAAGAATCTTAAACCCCCTTTTGGCCTCCCATCAATAGTACTTGGAGGATCATGGGACTTAGCAAGCAGGGTTATAGATAGGGTAACTATACTTATAAGTAATTACTTATAACCCCAATTAAGGTACTTATAACTCTACTTACTAAGTCCCATGATCCTTTAAGTACCCGAGCAGACAGGTAGTGGCAAGCCCTGAACCCGAAGCCGAAGCCCCAAACCCTGAGCCCTAAACTCCCCCAACTCCCAATTATGGAACCCTTTAAGGAACCCTTGTAGATCCCTGTAAGGAGCCTTTTAAGGAACCCTAAACCCTCGACCCGAAACCCTCAACCCTAAACCTCAACCCTCAACCCTAAACCTCAACCCTCAACCCTAAACCCTCAACCCTAAACCCTACTCTCCCCCTCCAGCCCGTCCGGCCAAACGCGCCTTTGGACGCAGGTCTGCTTGAATATCGAGTCGCACGACCAGGCCATGGGTCCCCTGAAAAATCAATGGACTTCGTAACTAGGGTTATACTTTAGGGTTTAGGGTTTAGGCTTCAGGGTTATACTTTAGGGTTTAGGCTTTAGGGTTATACTTTAGGGTTTAGGGTTTAGGCTTTAGGGTTTAGGGTTTAGGGTTCAGGCTTTAGGGTTTAGGGTTTAGGCTTTAGGCTTTAGGCTTTAGGGTTTAGGGTTTAGGGTTTTGGGTTTAGGGTTTTGGGTTTAGGGTTTAAGGTCTAGGGTTCCTTAAAGGGCTCCTTAAAGGGATCTACAAGGGTTCCTTAAAGGGTTCTATAATGGATCTGTAAGGGTTTAGGGTACTTCAAGGATCATGGGACTTAGTAACAAGGGTTATACTTTAAAGGGGATCTATAGGGGTTCTATTATAAGAGGGGTTTTCGGGTCTACTTGGAGGATCATGGGACTTAGTATCTGGGGTTATAATTAGGGTAACTATACTTATAACCCCAATTAAGGTACTTATAACCTTACTTACTAAGTCCCATGATCCTCCAAGTAGAGCCCAAACTCTAAGCCCCCTTATAGATCCCCTTATAGAACCCTTATAGATCCCTTTAAAGGAACCCCTAAAGATCCCTTTAAAGGAACCCTAAAGATCCCTTAATTGTCATGGCTACGCCCGACATCTTGATGCTTGCAGTATCCCTAAATCTTAGACGTAAAGCCTCGTGAGGCGTTTCGGCTGCTATGCCGTCGGTGTTCTGGCTTAGAGGTTTCGTGAAATTCCATAAAAACCGGGAGCCGGAGCTTGGTTTCCTTTAGGGGTTTGAGGTTTTGGGCATGAGGTTTTAGGGTTTGAGGTTTTAGGGCTTGAGGTTGTAGAATTGAAGGACTTCAGGTTCGCATCGCCATCACCGTCATAATCATCATCATCGTCACCATCGTCGGGTACTCATATTCATCGTCATATCAATCGTCATCGTCGTCATCGTCATCCTCGTCATCACCCTCATCGTCATTGTCATATCGTGATCGCCGTCCTCACCATCTTCTTCATCATCATGCTGAAACTCACCTTCTTTTGATTATCCTCATCACCATCACCATTATCAGTCTTACCATCGGCATCACCATCAACATCACGATCACCATCATCGTCATCATCATCATCATCAACAACAACAACTCTGCAACCGTGTTGTGCATTCATGCGAATCTTGGTTTTTGAATCTTGGTTAAGCTCGACAGGAGCCCGACTTTCCTTGGATCGTCGTGGAGAATGACAAGCTGGCAGGCACGGCGAAAACACGCGTGGTACCGGCTCTTAGGGTTCCTTAGGGTTCCTTTAAAGGGATCTATCAGGTTTCTATAAGGGGATCTATAAGGTGGCTTAGGGTCTACTTAGGGTACTTTTTTTTTCTTTAAGTTTTTTGTTCTTATAATCCCTAAGAAACAGCTAAAATTGTAATTTTTGCTAGGGTGCTAAGTTCAGTATAGTCTATAGTGAACCCCAGAAAGTTGGAACATGGATTTAGGATGATTGCTGCTAGGATTCCCTCTTCTTTGCCTTAGGGGGAATGAGGATAATGATGTTCCAACTTTCTGGCTTTGTAGTGTGTTTCAGGGCTTCGATGTGGGGTTGCCAGGTGTAGGGCTTAGCAACAGCATCTAAGGTGTGCTTTCGTTTTTGTCGCTCCATGGTTGCTACTCGTAGCTAAACTGCACTGACAGTCAACTTAAAGCACTGCTTTTTCGTTTCCCGGTGCATTTTCGTCCTTTTTGGCCGTTCCGTCATTTGCCTAGTTTTGTTCGTTTCTGCCTGCTTAGCTACCAGCTATCTTAGCAGCTACCTACACGTACCATGCACCCATCTACCCCAAATCCGAAACCTTAAGTTCCAAACCCTGAACCCTAAACATTGGGGTCCTTATAATACCATACTATACTATTGAGGGTACTATATTAGGGTCCTCATAGGGGATGGAGGTTTAGGGTTTATAAAAGGACCTAAACCCCAAATCCGAAATCCCAAACCCCGGAACCCGAACCAGACTTCAAGTCCGGAGCTTGCAACAACCAAGAGTTCCAGGCCTAACCCTACACCATCCTAAGCCCTGCGCCCGAAATCGTAAATCCGAAAAAAAACCCTTAACAATAAGCAAGGTTTCAGGTTCCGGAGGATTTTCCTTCTATAAGTCCGTAAACAGTCAGGAAGTTTGAGGTCAAGGTAACGTTTAAGTTTAGGTGGAAGTCGCTACCTCGATTTTAATTGTTCGGTTGTGAGTACTTAAAGGATCATGGGACTTAGTAACTAGGGTTATAATTAGGGTAACTATACATTTAACCCCAATTAAGGTACTTATAACCTTACTTACTAAGTCCCATGATCCTCCAAGTAGGGAAAGGGGGTAATGGGTTATGCGGGCTATTATTGCGGATTATATGGGGACTACTATGGGGATCCATTCCCCCATTCCCTACGAAGAACCCCAAACCCTAAACCCTAAAGCCTAAACCCTAAACCCTAAAGACAGCCAAGAGCCGAAGCTGGGTGACCAGGGGGCGCGGTGCCCATCTTCCTGGCGCTGGAACTGTGGCCGGCGTGGTTCCCCTTCTGCCAGATGCTGGGTCAAGATACGGATTACAGTAACGGGGGTTTAGGTGTTAAGGGTTTACCTCAACCTACCAAAACCTACCTTTTTTGAAGGTTCCCTATAAATGCCATGCTAGGCTTTACAATAAGGACCTACAAAAAGTAGGGTTTGGTAGGTTAAGGTAGGGCTCAGTAGCAGGGTTTAGGATTTAGGCTCGAACGTACGTCTCGGGCCCGCCACCATTTTGCGCCGGTAGACCTTGAGCGCGGGTTTATGGGATTGGAGGTCGAGGGCCTCGGCGTGTGGGGGAGTGTGCATTCATGACTGCCCAGAGAGCCCAATACCCCTTATTTAAGGAAGATAGCTTAAATCACAATTTGAAGCCCTATATAATTTTAGCCATATTCCTTAAATAAGGGCTATTGGGCTCTCTGGGTGAAGGGCTGTTTTGGAACTCTGCTTTGCAAACCCTAAATCCTAAAGCCTACCCCCTAAGTTAGAAGCTGCCCCCACCCTGTAATAGTGACTATAAGGATTATAGTATGGCCCTATTTTCTTCCTATTGTACCACTATTACAGGGTGGGGGCCCCTTCTAAGGAATCCGAAAAGAAGAACCCACAAAACAACTCCTTTAAGAGCCTTTACAGGAACTCTTACCCAGAGGGCACAATACCCCTTAATTAAGGAATATGACTAAAATTATATCGGGCTTCATATTATGATTTAAGCCATATTCCTGAATTAAGGGGTATTGGGCTCTCTGGGAACTCTTAATGGAGCCTTCAAGCGCTCTTACAGAACACCAAAACCCGACGCCGATATCCAAGGAAGGTCGAGAAGCTGGCGAACTTGGGTACAAATCAGGCCCACAGCGAGGGTTTTATGAGGGCTGTTCGTGTCATGATAGCGGTGTAAGGGTTCTGAGACGGCTTTACACGATTGTTTTCAAGTTGTTTTGTAAGGGTTCGGTATCCGCCGTGGACGTGGAGTGACTCGGCTCCTTCCTCACATTGACATGCGGGTTTCCGGGAAAACAGGGACACTAATATAGTACCGTAATTGGTAGGATCCCCATTATGAGGACCCCAAAATAGGGTACCCCTAATTTTCGGAAACTCCCACATTGTTAGATGCGGGGTTTTCAGCAGGGAGGGCACATGGCCGAGGCTGGCACATCACCCGGTTTAGGGTTTAGGGTTTTAAGGGTTAAGGGTTTAGGGTTTAAGGTTTAGGGTTTAGGGAGCGACATGGCTTCTCCCTCACATAGGCTTGAGAAGGGTTGAAATGGAAGGAAGCAGGCGAGCAAGGCTGGCACACATGGGAGGAGGGGCGGGCTGCTGGGATCGCGGAACACGGACACGTCTAATCCCAGGGTCGCATTATTAAATGGGTCACATTTAAAGAAACTTTTTGGGGGCCTGTAGGGTCCGGAAGAGGAGTTTCCATTGCGTAGGCGTTTGTAGGCTTTGCGACCTCTAAAAAGGGTTCACATTTAAAGAAACTTTTCTGGAAAGCCTAGGTTTGGCAGTAATGTAGTAAAAGATTGGCCTCTACTAAGGCTGTAGCTGCAGTAGAGTAGTAAAGACCGGGCCTCTACTAAGGCTGTAGCTGCAGTACAGTAGTCAAAACTGGGCCTCTATCAAGGCTGTAGCTGCAGTAAAGCAGTAAAAGCTGCGCCTCTACTAAGGCTGTAGCTGCAGTAGAGTAGTAAAGACCGGGCCTCTACTAAGGCTGTAGCTGCAGTACAGTAGTCAAAACTGGGCCTCTACTAAGGCTGTAGCTGCAGTAAAGCAGTAAAAACTGGGCCTCTACAAGGCTGTAGCTGCAGTAAAGTAATAAAGACTGGGCTCAGAGGCCAGATTTATGAAAGGGTTCGCATTAATGAAAACAATACCCGGGCCGATTCCTTGATTAGAAACAATGCTGTCCATGAGTCCTTGCTGCTTCATGAAAAAGAGTTCCCCTTGCAGTTGGATTCCAAAGCTTTGCTTTTCCAGAAATCTTAAGCAGGCCAAAAGAGTGGATTCCTTATTGGATTGCTTATTCAAGAAGGCATATTTTCATTCCTTCCTGAGCTACCCCTTACAATGGCCCTCCCCAGGACTCCGGGCCAGATTTATGAAAGGGTTCACATTAATGAAAAAAATTCCCGGGCCGATTCCTGGATTAGAAGCAATGCTGTCCATGAGTCCTTGCTGCTTCATGAAAAAGAGTTCCCCTTGCACTTGGATTCCAAAGCTTTGCTCTTCCAAAAATCTTAAGCAGGCCAAAAGAGTGGATTCCTTATTGGCTTGCTTATTCAAGAAGGCATATTTTCATTCCTTCCTGAGCTACCCCTTACAATGGCCCTCCCCAGGACTCCGGGCCAGATTTATGAAAGGGTTCACATTAATGAAAAAAATTCCGGGGCCGATTCCTGGATTAGAAGCAATGCTGTCCATGAGTCCTTGCTGCTTCATGAAAAGGAATTCCCCTTGCAGTTGGATTCCAAAGCTTTGCTTTTCCAGAAATCTTAAGCAGGCCAAAAGAGTGGATTCCTTATTGGCTATGCGGCGACAGCTAACTACTTTCTGCACCAGCTGCACTGCTCTTTGCTCCATGCTGTCACTGTCTGCATGTTGTGCCCTCGCAAGAGCCAAATCACTGCATCAGCTCTTCTCTTCACAGCCCGCCCCCCAATCCCCCAATCATTCTATTAATGCGACCCCCCACTGTCCATTATTGTGACCGCCCTAATCCCTGGACCCGCTGGGGGGCGGGGGGAGCCCCCCCCCCTATTATTGCGACCCTGGGATTAGGGGTTTCGTACGAGTTTCACGAGGAATTTATATGAAGATGTAGAGAGAGTTTCCTGGGTGAGGTTTAAAGGCGCTCAGAGGGATTGAATTAGTTGGATTTCTAGGACTAGGATTCTAGACGGTTGAGGGCTCCTGGATTGAAGGGTTTTGAGGTTTGCGAGTTGAGGGTTAGGATCTAGGACTCCAGGCAACTCCGGTCTGGCTAAGACAGCCGCGGTGCAAATGGTTGCGACCTAGCTTACACTGCAAAGAGTTTTCTTTAGCTCCGGAGGCCGTTGAACTTAGTAGGGCACCTCCCTTCCCTACTAACCAAAGGTAAGTGAAGTCTCAGGTTCGCAGGGTTGTGGGGTCTGGATCGGCAGCAGGGCATCTACCTGCTGCGCTACAAGATCGCTTTTCTGACCGTCGACATCGTGATGCCTGGCCGCAGTGGGGGTTCAGCTGGGTTGGGCTTTGGGATATTTTTCAATTTCCCTTATTTCCTTATACAGGGAACCTATTCATAAATAATTTTTCAAAGGGTTTAAAGCACAACCCAGTCAGGGTCTTGGGGGGCTTCAGGCTTCGAGCTGCTGTGGGATAGGCTCTGTTTTGGGGTTGTGGGACCCTAAACCCTAAACCCTAAACCCTAAACCCTAAACCCTAAACCCTAAACCCTAGCATAGCACCGTAGAGGTTTTGTTGTTGTGGAACTTTTTTTGCAACCGGATGCCTTCCTGGAGCCTTGGCCAAGTTTTTGGTCACCGCCCTGTAAGCGGCAGGAGAATCCGTGAAAGCACAAATACGAATACGGCCCAGAGGCACATGCAACGGCTAGCTTCCTCCCTTTAATCGCTCCAAACAAGCGTTACAGGTACTACACCCGGCCATTATCACTACCCTGGGGGCTTAGTCAGCATCAATCGATTACATCCCTGCTGGAAGGCTTCTTGCAGCACTTGTCGATGCCTGTCTGCAGGGAAATAGGCTTTCGAAGGGGTGCAGGATTTTGCGTTTGCTTTTCAAGCTTTAAGTTGGTCGGGGCTATACTATCTTGAGCCTTGTACGTACATGGGCTGTGGGCTTCAAGTCTGGGACCGACGATGTGGAGCTTGAGGATATTGGGGCGGCATGGTTTCACTTAAGGACTCTGATCAGAGCTTCCGAAACAGCTTTATCACATGACCTAGCATAGTAGATTTTGTAGATTCTTCGGTGTCTTCTGACGGCTGCAACTGCCTGTCACTTCCGAGTTGAGGGGTGCCATCTGTGAGCAACTTACGTGGCCCAAGCAATAGTATCATCCTCATTCTGAAGCTCCGGGAAGTTTGCGCCGCAGGTTTCAGAAGCCCCCGACATCGTAGTTTCTTTTTCTTAGTCCCCGACATGCCAAGCTCGGTACACCCAAGCCTGGAAATTCGAAGACCTTGCACCCTAAAGCCCAATAGGCTCGGAGCTCTCAATCCCAAACCCTGAGCCCTAAACCTTGAACCCTAAACCCTGCAAGTCCTATCCTCTGAATCCCCAAAGCCTTACTCATTTCAGCCCTCAGCCCTACAGGTTACAAGCTCTTAACCTCCGCATCAATCTAAGACCCTAGGAGTTTTGAAGCCCTTTGCCGCTGCTATTCCATAGAATTGCTAAGTATAATCTGCGCCAGAACCCTCTTCCAACCCTGAACCCCCTTCTAGTTATGAAGCCCTAAACCCTAAACCCCTAAACCCTAAACCCTAGCCTAAAACCCCCAAGCCCGGCAGTTCCATTCTCTCAAAGGACAACCTCTCCAGCAATGGTCGGCTTGAACTGCTCTTTGCTTCACCTCCCAAGGGCGCTAAGTCGTGGCCTCCTGGCGGCTCAAATGTGGGAGTTTCCGATACTACAAGTCGGGACCCTAATATAGTACCCTAAATGGTAGGTACCTTATTTGGGGGTCCTTATAATCAGTTTCTATTTTCGGAAACTCCCACATGTTGTGAGGGCTTCATTCAGGGTTCCTGTAGGGGTTCCGTCAGAGTTTTACCAGGGCTGTGTGCGTTTTGGGGGGTTTAGGGTTTCGGGTAGGGGTTTAGGACTTGGGGTTGACAAGTGGCTAGCAGTTTGCGGTTTGGGTTTGAGTTTGTGGAAATGGTGATGAGCTCAAGTTTCAGGAGTTGTTTTGGCTGCTGTTGGGTGGAAACTGAAACCGTGCTCCCGCCTTCGAAACGACCACATTCACTTGATCAAAGTCCTGGGAAGGAACCGCTATTGAATTGGGAACCCAACCCTAATCGGTGTTCAGGCAAAAAGAGCCCCGCCGTGGTGACTTGGCGAGCACCATCCGTCTAAACCAAACATGAAACCTGTATAGCCAAGCTTGCCTTTGTGTTATGTAAGGGTGGTTGTCAAAATTGGGGTCCCTTTTTGGCTTATCATTCTAATACGGCACCTATTATATAGGGTACCCACAAAGGGACCTTAATTTTGACGACCACCCATAAGAGGATGCTGAGGAACCAGTGTAAGAACCCCTATATAGTTTGAAAAAACACACCGGAAAACCGCACAAGGACTGCACAACCCCGATGGGAAGCTGGATTCCCAGAGAGCCCAATACCCCTTAGTTAAGGAAAATGGCTTAAATTAAAGGGGGCTTCATATTGTGATCTAAGCCATATTGCTTAATTAAGGGGTATTGGGCTCTCTGGATTTCGAAGCTCCGAGGATGGGTACCACGGTGCCGGGAAGGACGGCCTCCTTCCGCGACTTGGCACCAAAGGGCTTTTCTGAGCCATTAGGGTTTAGGGTTTAGGGTTTGGGGTTTAGGGGTTTAGTGGTTTAGGGTTTAGGGCATGGCCCAGGGCTTCTTTTAGAGTAGAAGGCAGAAAGTTGAAACATCATTTCCTGATGCCCTTAAGGTCAAGTTTCGGGAATCCCAGCAGGAATCATCTTAAATCCATGTTCCAACTTTTTGGGGTTCACTGTATTGGATTTTGTTTACTCAGGATTCGGGCTTGACGAAATCTAGAAAGCAAGAAGCTCGGAATCGCCTCCGAATGTGAGTCCATCCCCTGAAAAACCAGCGCCGCAAGAATCTCCGAAGCCCGAAGCCCCAAGCCCTCAGCTGTACATACGCCGCCACAAACCCTCAGCCCCAAGCCTAAACCCACAGGCCCGAAGCCCGAAGCCCCAAGCCCTTAATGCTGACCGAAACCCTAAACCCTAAACCCTAAACCCACAGACCCGAGACCCAAGCCCGAAGCCCTGAATGCTGACCGAAGCTTCTGAACCGACCAGATCTATGAAATTCACGTACCTTTACTTGGAGGGGCAGGGGACTTAGTAGGTAGGCTATAAGTAGAGTTATAAGTACCCTAAATGGAGTTACCCCAATTATAAGCCTACTTATAACCTACTTACTAATTCCCCTGCCCCTCTAAGTAGGGTGGAGTTTTAGGGCGTATGGTTGAGAGTTGAAGGTTTGCTCGCCATCCTACATGAGCCGCATAAAACGGGGAGCAAGGGAACCACGACACCTCACGTATTCTATTCGAGTACTATTTACAAGTGATATGCAGAAGACAAAGAGCCCAGGCATCTTGAAGCCCAGAGAATAGTCAAACCCTAAACCTTGAAACCAAAATCCCAGAAACTCCTGAGACGGGTATCATCCTGAATCCAAGACTCATGCAACTCCAAGTCTTGCTGCCTGGTACCGCAGACTCTCCCAGGCTATGTGATTCCGGGCATGCGGCTTTCCATTCGTCCATCGACAACGCGCTCCGGGAACATAGTACTGCAGGACGAGGGGGGGGTTCTAAGGTTGGAAGTATGGGCCCCTAACATGGCCCCGTAGGATTTTTTGAGGGAGTTCTAGGGACCTTTAAGAGTCTCTATAGGGTATGTAGTAGGTGTTTAGGCATCCCAGGGTTAAGGGCCCATACTGGGGGCCCATGGTTTCAACCGTTGAGGGGGGGGTTGGGACTTTGGGATTCCGAGGAAGCGTGGCAGCTGTTGAGTTAGAGAGATGAGCCCTGTTCCCCGAGAGTTGCAGCTAGTCCTTCGGTGAAAGCTCCCAGGCCAGAAAGCTAAATCCTAAGACCGTAGAGGCCTTAGTAAGTCCTTATTATGGGTATTAAGGTCCCCTACCCCCCTCCCCCCTACCCCGTATGATGAATGGTCAGTGCTTCGGGTTCAGGGATTACGATTTGGATTTTTTTTATCTGATTTCGACAGGGCCTTACAGGTTCCAGAGGTACACTCCCCAGCAGTACTCTTTTTGCCCTCCTTTATCGTTTCCGTAAGCCTATACATCCTGTCATCTATAAACGTCCACAAGACCCTCACAAGACCCATAATATACAAACTCCTTAAACTTTTTTCCCCACACCCTGAAACCCTTCTCCCCCAAAACCCTAAACCCTGAAACCTAAACCCTTAAACAATTGAAACCCTAAACCCTGAACCCTAAACCCTTAAACCCTTAATTAAAGCCCTAAATCCTAAACCCTAAACCCTGAACCCTAAACCCCTAAACCCTGAAAGCCCTTAAAGCCATAAACCCTAAACCCTAAACCCTTAAAACCCTAAACCCTGAGCCCCACAAAACGCTTGGGTCGACAGCTGTTGATGATATAAATCCTGCATGACCCACAATAAGGAACAGACCATAATTCTCATAGTCTAGGGTCCTTAAGGTAATGTAGGATTTATATCATCAACCGCAGGCGGAGACCCTGGATGAGGCCGCTGTTGGGGAAGCGAAGCTTAGCGCTCTTCGGGTCTTGCTGCGGGGGTACAGTAAAGGTTTAGGGTTTAGGGTAAACCCCATCAAGTTGGAAACCGGATTAAGGCCAAATAGTGATGGCATTCCCTATACATTACTCTTCAGGATTGAGGCTTGGGTCTTCCAATTATTCGGCTTCTACTGTGCAGGTATTCCCCGGGAGCACCTGAACCGCAAAACCCCATGGACAAAAGGAGTCTAACAAATCACGAACAGATAAGATCCCGAGGCTCCAAAGCCCTAAACCCCAGCCATCTTTTGTGGGATGTTTCGGGCTGCTGGGGTCGGGTTCATGTTGCGCCTTCAGGCCTTTGGAGGTCGCGAAGCTCTGAAAACCGAAACTCTAATCTCTCTACGCCCGGAGCCTTATACCTTAAGCCGTGAGACTATATGGGCCTTAAGAATTACCTATACTATTTTGAGGCTTCCTTATGATGAATACAGTATAAGGGACCCCAAAACCCTACTCTAATTATTAAGGCCCCTAGCATCTAAACACGGTCCCTAAACTTACCTTTGGTTAGTAGGGAATGGAAGAATGGAAGTAATAGTAGTTCTAATTTTACCCCATTCCTCCATTCCCTACTAACCAAAGGAAAGTTCTAGGATTATTAAGGCCCCCTCTATTACAGTACCCTTATAGATCCCCTTATAGTAACCCTTATAGATCCCTCTAAGCCCTAAACCCTAAACCCTAGACCCTAAACCTTTCGCGGCCCCTAAACAGGTGCAGATCCAGTGGGCCGTCAAGCTCTTCTGGCAAGCCTGCGCCTCGCGCATTATCGGCCCCTTGGTCGTTTAGGGGCCTTACTTAAAGGATCATGGGGCTTAGTAGCTAGGGTTCCTTAAAGGGCTCCTTAAAAGGGCTCCTTTAAAGGGGATCTATAGGGGTTCTATTATAAGAGGGGCTTTAGGGCCTTACTCAAAGGATCATGGGACTTAGTAACTAGGGTGATAATTGGGGTAACTATACTTATAACTTATAACCCCAATTGAGGTAGTTGTAACCTTACGTACAAAGTCCCATGATCCTTCAAGTAGGGGCCTTAATGATTGGAATGAGTAGTTCTCCAAAT